TTCATTTCTCTCTTGCCGGCTCCGGGCGGGCGCATGCACGAACTAGGCCGTTCCATTGTATTAAAAAACAATTTTATTTGAAATCCGTCGTCGCGATCTATCAAAACCCCATATTTTTATCAAAACATATTACCAGATAAATTTTTCTTATAATTATGAATGCCACCCGGATGATCACGCCCTGCGCACCTTCGGCGCGGATGGATTTTATATGTTTATTTTTGTCCCGATATCCTATCTTTCGTATATTCTCTTTTCAAATTCTCAATTATATTATCCTAATTACGATGCTTAGTAATCACGATTTATACGATTTTATATATATTTAATATATTTTGATTTATTCCAAATATAAAATATCCTAATTATAATTTATATCAATTACGATTAAAATTCAATTTACGTTTTATATCAACATTTATATTAAACCACGATTTATATTAAACACATTTGTCCAGAATATGGCAGGCATCATCAAATTCTTTTATTCATTTGATGATCAAAAATCATTATTTATTCCCAAGCAACCAATTGATATATTTATTTAAATCATTATTCTTATTGATATAATTATTTGATTAATATATATGGAGGATACCAAATCAAAATAATTGTTCTCTATTGAATTGATTATAGGCAGGATTATGTAAAAAATATCATTACGGACATATTGTAAATCGAACGATAAATTTGACATAAATGTTAAATCGATTTGCAATCAACATAACCGATTTCCAACCAACATATTTAATATTAAAGATTGAATATTCAATCATAAATATAATATGTATTAATTTATCAATATCTTAAATAGATAATTATTTTAAACGCAATTAATTTGCCATTTTCATAATTCTTTTTAAACAAACTAATATATGTTATTCCAATATTTAAGATTTAAATTTAGAAACTAATTGCTTTTTTATATCATATACACAAGCATTTTGTGCTATATATCATATATATTATTTTCCTCCCCCTCTAATTTCAAATTTTTATATATAGATATATATATGAGGTCCGGACAACAGAGTAGCATATCCTTTTTCGATTTGCGGTTATCTGGTATCGAATTCGATGAATTGAATTCTGAATTGGTGTTCTGACCGTATCTTGCTTTCCCAATGTTTTTCTTGTATTTACTCCTCAATCTCCTCAATTGTAATCTTTTGATATTCTTGTTAATTTCCTCTTGGATATCTGCATCATCTCGCTATTTGTACATCTTTGCAGAATCTTTTAATACCTCCTTGTATTTCTTAGTTCGCCTTATTGTAAATATCCGTAGGGAAACATTGCAATCAGAGGAAATTGCCGGACCTCAAACACGAATCAAAAGATATGCTAAATAGAATTCCAAAATAAAAAAAGAACGAAATTAAATAATCAATCCTAAGAAGTTGCAAAACGAAAGCTAACACGAGCACGTTGCGAAAAGAGATAGTCAAAGTGCAGCGGTAGCTGCCCTAGGTTTAGGGGCGCGGACCCAGGACAACTACAAGGCAATTGCCAGATATAATACTTCAAATTTCCTTTCCATCAATCGCTACCGCGACAAACATGCAGCAATCCACGTATGCAGGGTAGCTGCAATTCAATTACCGGATATGGTATTTCAAATGCCCTTTCCGTCAGTCGCTCGATAACCCTTACACACGCACAGCAATCCACAGCTTTGAAATTTCATTCGTGCTTTGAACTTATATGTGGGTAAAAGGTATAGTAACATAGCATTTATACGAATCCAGGGTAATTACAATTCTGTTACCAGGTATCGCACTTCAATTTCCCTATCCGCGCCTTGCTGGCTCCCGGCTGCTTTAGATTTAAGCGCGCACGCACGGACCCAGGGCAACTACAAGGCAATTGCCAGGTATACCCAGAGTAGCTATACTTCAATTATCAGGAATAATATTTCAAATTCCCTTTCCATCAATTGTTCGATAACCTCTATACACGCACAGCAATCCACAGCTTTGAAGTCTCATTCGTGCTGTGCGTATATAAAGGTTATCGAACGGTTGACGGAAAGGGAATTTGAAGTCTTATACCTAGTAGCGGTTGACGGAAAGGCAATTTAAATATTATACCTGACAAATGAATTATAACTATCCCAAATATTTATATTTAGCAAGGGACCAATTACACCTTACCACTCAGATGATATAAATTGCATTTCTTGCATCATCACCCCCTCAAAAAATCCAAAATATAATCTCAAAAATTTTATTTCCGCACACCCCTCTCCCCCACCTAATTTTGAATTTACGTAATAGGTTCTCGGGCCGTCCCCCCCTAACCCCCTATATTTATTCATTTCGTTTGCTAAATATAATTCAATTAACACCTTCAATGAAAATTAATTTTCATAAAAATCAATTGAACATTATTCATATAACCAAAAAATTAAAATCAAAAATAATTCATATATACGGATTTAAATTTATTTTTAAAAAATAATTCGATAAAATTATCTATTTCAATCATATCGGATGCAACAAAATAAATATTACCAAATTTTTATTAATATAATTTGCCTATAACATAAATTCGGAAATTAGAAATATTTTATTTCATAAAAATTATATATATATATTGCCTATTTACATTCAATATATATGAATCGAAGAATAATAAATACAATTTTAAATCAATAAATAAAAATAATCAATTTAAATTGTATTCGATAATATATTTTTAAATATTTAATATATTTAAATATTTTTTTCTTAAAAAAATACGTTCCAAATCTATATAAATCCACCAATATTAATCTATATTCTTTCGTTATTTTTTCAAAAATAATTAATAAACAAACGAATCTCCATAACATGAGGGACGGGCAAAACTCCTTATTCTTCTTCAACAAAAAAATGGAGTCATCGGTTTTGAATTGGACCTTATCATTTTATAATGTTTTAAGTTCGTCGCATACTTATGATCATATACAGTGTTGGGGTTATCGATTTTAAGGTGGACCTTATCGTTTTACAAGGTTTTATGCACAAACTTACCCGTCTTTACTAAAGTGGTCTTCGCATGTTTTAACCGTGGTTCACATATTTATTAAATATCACCCCGAATTAAACCCTCCCTCGCCCACAACCATCGTGATCGCAATCGTCATCGATAGTAAATAACAAATATTAACAATATATTTAAATAAATATCAAAAAATACAAAAATATATATCAAATTAATAAAAATTAATAATACAAATTATTAATAGAAAATCGGTTTTTATAAACAATATCCTTTATAATCATCAAATATTTATTATATTTAAAATCCTAAGCCCTATATATTTTTAAGAATTTCATTAAATATAATAATATATAATAATAATAATATAAATATTAATAAAAATATATTAAAAATCGTTAATTTTTAAAATTTAAAATTCAATAATTAAAAATACATAATAATATTTTAAAATATTCTTTTAAATTACCAAAAATATTTCTATAAATAGATATTTTTCTTATAATATAGAATTTTATCGTATTTTACGATACAATATATAATTCAATATCTATAAAAATAGATTCAATTATTAATATCGAATATTTATAGTATAATCAATATTCCTATTTTAGGGCTAATTTTAATATCATAAAGCAAAATCAAATTTACAATTGTTTCTATTTTTATTAATCGCGGGAAAGAAAAAGGCTAAAATGCAAAGCTTTGCATTGAAGTTCGATATGATAGAGCCGATATATATAATGCCTGGATCAACTCCATAGGATAGATTTCGATTCGTACAATCCGACCCGCTTCGACATGCATAGCTTGGAGAAGGTCTTTTTCATCCGGCGAACAACCCTTTTCATAATACAAAAGGGCCCCCCCAAGCAACTCAGAGGTTCCTGCCCGCATGTGTGCGCAGAGTCTCGCCGCTTCTGTCCCCTAACTGATGGACACACCTGTTTACCCTGGTCAGCTCCCTCAGTGTGGTGGCATCGTTTCTTGTATTTCCTTCTACTCTTATTCCTTAACATTCATTTTGACCGGTTTTGCTACTTTTGCCTTTGCAAACAGCAGGGGCTGAGAGACGCAGTGGCTTGAAGCCGGGCATGCTAGAAAAGAGCCGATGTACACAACCCCTGGATCAACTCCCATCCACTGTTACTGGGCATAGGATAGGCTCCGATCCGTACTAAAGCCCGACCCCTTGGACATCTATAGCTCTGAGACGTGCCCTTTTTCAACCATAAAAAGGAGCACCCCCAAGCAATTTAAAGGTTGCTGACTGCATTCTATTCCCTCTCTTGTCCTCTACCTGCACTCTTCGGTCTAGTGAGCCCCCCAATATGGGGAAGACGCAGCTGTAAAATGAAGCCCGCAGTTGTCCTTGTGTGTTGTCCAAACGCTATCTCTATCGAAATAAACTCCGGCTTGCGCAAATCTCGCGCTTCTATCTTCTGACTGGATAGACGCACCTGGTTAGCCTGGTGAGATCCCGACCGTACCTCTTTTCTTGCATTTCCTGTCACGTAGTCCCCCCCTTCCTGTCCTCTACCCGAACTCCCACCCCTCGTCGAAAGACTGTCCAAATAGTCTCCTGAGCCCTTCGTGATGCTAATGATGCACTTTTCGGCGTCGATTACATCACTCGCATCACCAGACCACAAAAACCATACATGTTCACTGCTTTCCGGACCGCCTCTTTTTGTTGCTCTTCCCCCACCAGGCTCTGGGTTCACCCTACACGGCCGGCCTCACTTCGTTCGCCCATCAACTCCAGCCTAGCCTATCGGCTGGCTTTTGTAACCATATACATATATATATATGTGTGTGTGTATATATATATATAAATCTATATTTATACAATGTATATATATATATTATATACACACATATCCCTATGATTCATGACGGCTAGGTTTGCTTTTCGATTGGAATCCGTCGGTCTCTTGAAATGTCAATCAAAGGTCAGAAAAGTCACACAGTGCGCGGCCTCTCCAAAAAGAAATTGGAGAAACATCCCATTCAGAGCAGCCTCACTGCCTCACTTCTTAAAATACCTACCAATCGCAATGCCAACGGCAAGAGAACCTGCAGAGTGATTGCCGTGTGTTCAATCCCATGCCCCGAGTAGTTTAGCAAGTTATCATGAAGGGCATGAGGGTAGCGATTTTGGCTTTTTTTGGGGAAGGATGGACAAAGCCAATTCTGTCGGTAGTTTCTTTGAACCTGCGTATGCCTGCGTGGATGAATAGCGAATAGGAAAACAAACGCTTGAATCCACTCTGGTTAACATTGTCTGCTTCATTCAATCGGGCCAATGAACTTAAACTTTCTACGCACACCCTTGCAATGATTAGAGCCTTGAGGCAAGCAAAACAAATATATGTTGTATACATAGATCCATTGTTTGAGCCTCTTGTTTGAGACATTCTGAGTCATTTCCCAAATCATGCCACGGACCTCTTGATGAGTGGACGTCCACTCACCAAATGTCCTTCGGAAGGATGATTGACTTTACATGCAAAAGTGTCCAAACCCATGAATCAGTGCATGCACGCCGCTTCCACAACCCCTGCCACATGCCTCCGACGGGAATCAGCACTGACATCAAGCCCGAGTCGGCACTGAAGGGCACATCTTTCCACATTGTCCATCCTTGGCCAGTGTTGCTGTTGTAGACCACCTGACACACAGCGAAGGACGGCGGAAATGGCAGCAGTTTGGCGTGGTGGTGGGATGGTATGAAATGGAAAACGCAAAGCAACATGAAGAATGACATGAGCATGGGGAACATTTATTGCTCCCTCAGCCTACCACCTGGCCACTGCCTACGTGTACTGGAACATATATAACTCACATTAGCAGAAGCTTTCACCGAATTACTTGATATTACTTGCTCAAGGTTGCTTCAGCACCAGCACTTCTACAGTAAATGTTCTACACCGATCCTGTACCAAACTCGAGACACGCTAAGACATGTGCGGGTGTCGACACACGCGTTGCAGTGAGGGCCTTCGAAGTCACTGGCAGCGGCAGGCCCTTGCTGCGTGCCACAATGCGCGCAAAGACATTGCTGGCCGAGTTCACCTGCGCCAAGTCCTGCACACCATCGCGATTCCTCAGCGAGGGCACATGATGTGGTAGACATGGGTCCTGGTGTAGGTTTTTGTTGGTGTCTGCTGGCCCAAAGTTTGACGGCTTCCCAGGAAATTGAACTTGGAGGATGTGTTGTTATGTTTGTTGAGTCCAAGTGTGTCCTTCAATACCAAATGTTGCCAGGTAAGAACCTCCAGGCCCTCCAGAGTTACTAGATTCAATTGTCATTGTGCAATTGATTTTGCAGAATTATGCATCATTGTGGATCCTCGGGTTGCTCAAAGACTTGTCGCCCAGGATCATAGTGTCAAACACGGGTTGATAGCCTGCGGCCTAGGTCGAGAGCGCACAAAGGCAGGTCGGACCAAAGTCAAACAGCTCGCGGCTTGAGCCATAACCACGGAGAAATCATGAGAAATCAATCGATCAAAGACTGCAAAGGTTTTTCATCGGTCGGACATTCCGATTCATCGTCTGGTGTGGGGGTCCATCTGGTGTGGCGTGAAGCCTTCATGAGGACTTGTTTCTACTCGAGGAACCGCACACATGGCGTCTCGACGCTGGCCTTGGCCAGCGTTTGGCCACGGTGTCAGCCACTTCAAAAACAACGATAGGTCCAAGTGCCCTGGACGAATGCGGACACTCATAACTGCAAAGTGAGCCTACCCAAAACGAGCCAGGTGTAAAATAAAGCACATTTAAGAGACACAAATAGAAGACAAATAAGGGTTTTCATGCATTCCAACGTTTGAGAGACAAATGAAAGGCAAATAAGAAACAAATAAGGTACAAATAGGCTCCTGCCCTTGTGGGGAGCTTCGGGAAAAATCAGGAACAAATAAGGGACAAATAGGAGACAAATAAGATGAAACCATCAAAACACGCACCGCACATCATTGCTGACCCCACCCTAGGCTCGTTCACCCTAGGCTCACATTCCACTCTAACTGCACACCGAAGCCACACACAGAACCTCTTTCTTCCTTGGCTCGTGCAACCAATCCGTCTTCGACCTGCGGGTTTCTCCCTTGGCCTCTTGGTATAGATGGCAGTGAGATGACTGTCACCAGGCAGGTGCTGGCAACTTGGTTGCCTCCTCAGGTGAGATCTGGCTCTTCGCCGCTGCTTGGAAAGCCACGTCGATGCGCATCTGCGTGGGGACAAACTCTAAGGCATGCGGGTTCAGCGCTAAGCATTCCTCGCGAGCATCTACTGGGACCCAGAACAAGTTGAGAACAACAGGTAGCCCACAATTAGTCTCTGTGTATGTGTGTTTATAATGTTTTCTTTTTTTGGGGGGGGGCACCATGACATGAAGCCACCATCATATGACTTCAATGTCGACATTGGGGCGTGGAGACAACACATAAGTGAAGAAACATAAAGACACAATTTCTGGAAGACACTGCCAGGGTTCGATGAAAAAACTCCGATCAGACTGCAACTGCGGATGGACATAACAAATGCATTCCGGGTTCCGCTCGAACGCCGAAAGCAGGAAGGGCCGGTTCAAGCGCAAGGCATCATCCGCATGTTGAATGGCACAAGCATGCAGGGCAGCCGCCTCTAGCACAAAAGCTGGATCCTTCCAAAGACATTCCTCCACGTGGGCCATGGGGCCAGGGCAAGATCTGATTGCTGCCAAGACAATTTCTGGGTCGGCACGAAGTGCGGGTGTCGCAAACTCCAGGCATTGCCCCTGCTGCCTCACAGCTGCCAAAACCACCTCCCGATCTGACCTCATGACCTCAGGCGTTCCGATCAATGCATAGCCGTTGATCTTCACCGCCTGCAGGACAAAGCACTTGTCCAAGCGCAACTCGTCCGCCGCGAAGCTCAAGACGAAGCCCGTTTGGGGCACGGCGGCCAGCACTAAGCTGGGATCCGCGCGCATCTCTTGAGGCAAATGCTTTAAAACAGAGCCATGGGTGCGCAAGGCTTGGAGCACGAAGGCTCGGTCCTTCAGCAGCTCCTCAGAGACGAAACGGATACAACTGGAATTGCGCTGTAGAACTGACAGAATAAAGGGCTGCTCTTTCAGCCATCCGGGCTCGACCATGTTCAGCACAGAGGGCTGGAACCTGGCGGCGGCCAGCACGAAGTCGCGATCGGTCCAGAACTTCTTTGGCACCTTCTCGATACCGCTCTCATCGATCCGCAGTGCTGTCAAAGCCAAGTCCCTGTCTTGCCAAAAGTCTTCAGGTAAATCAACTAGGGCTTTAGCTCCCGCTGCTCCCAAGGCCTGCAAAGCAAAGCCCTTCTCCTTCAGGAGACCTCGATTCACATACCGCAGCGAGTGCCCGTTGCACCGTAAGGCCATGAGGATGAAGGCCGGTTCCATGGCCATTTCCGAGGGCACGTGTGCCAGGGCTTCAGGGTTACGTTCCACGGCGCGCAGAAGAAAGGCTGGGTCCTGGCCAAGCGGAACATGTCACTTCAAGGGGAAAAAGACAGATATCTGACCATCTAAACAAATAAGATAAGACGATAAGCTTGACTGCGACCCATGAGTTGTCCCACTGCAAAACATCAGCTCACCATTTCTCCCTCCATCTCCTCTAGAAGCTCTGCAGCCACGAAGGGCAATGCGGCTGGGCTCCGGCTCAAGAGCTCCAAAACAAAGGTCGGTTCAGCCTTGACCTCCGCCTGAGGTGGATTTATAGTGGATTGAGAGACACTTAGCAGGAGCCCCGTGTTGGGGTTTGTGCGGCATAAAAAATCACAGAAACCTCCAAATGATCGATGGTCAGGATGAGATTCAATGGGGTTATTGGCCGCAGAACATGGACGATGCTTGAATTTTTTCTCATGTTGGCTTGCTTCCCTGAGAGGCCATGCCCAGGCCATAGGAGTGTGCTAGTTCAGCATGTTCCAGCTATGTTTGATTATATTTGATCATCTTTCCTTGACCCACTCATGCCATCCTCTTTGGACGCCGATGCTTTTGACCCCCCACCTGGGCATGTTCCAAAGCACTGGGCGCCTGCCGCACCGCGTGGAGAACAAAGCGTGGGTCCTCCCACAAGTCTGCTGAGATATGTTCCATGGCACCTGGGCCACCCAATGAGACAACCTCCAAGGCGAAGTCAAAGTCACCTGCTGCAGGTGAGTGAAACCCTCAGAAACTCTCTTGTTGATGCACCGTTCATGGCCATGAACGGAAGAACCAGCAAGTACAAGCAGGAGTATTCAGGAGTGATTCAGTTGACTCACTGGGACCAAGCCTTTCAGCTCCTGAGCTGCATACTCGAAGGCCGCCCCTTCCTCTTTAATGGCCGCTAGGATCACCTCCGGATCTCCTTGGAGCTTAGCGGAGGCCCTGGCGAGTGCAAAGCCGTTCTGCTTCACCGCCTCGAGCACGAACTGCCGATCGCCACGCAGGTGCTCGGCCGCATATTCCAATGCGAAACCGCTGCGGCGGACGGCTTCCAGCACCAGCTGAGGATGGGCCTTGAGATCCTGCCGTGGAACTTGTGGTATCAAAGATTGTCAAAGTTCTCCTACATGTCTGCTGCAAAAATGAACATTGTTTGCTCCTGGAAGAGCATGATGAGACATGCAAAGTCTGTAAAGTCTTGTATCATGCTCTAGCCTGCATGCTGATAGGCAGTCAACCGACGATTAGCCAGAAGAAATTCTGAAGCTATTGAGTCAAGTCTTGCACTCTCAGAGCTCTACCAGGGCCTCCAACTCCCCATGTCTGCTCTATATACAAAGGCTTGCTGAACCCACAAGGGCTCAGTTGGTGACCTGTTGAAGGGTCTTGGTTTTGGTCTGTGTGTATATCGAGTGGATGCAAAATTCCTTGACTCACTGACTCAACTCGCCCCTCCTCTGAGGCATACTGCAGCGCCACTCCATCCCTGCGCAGCACTTCTCGGACCAACTCCGCATCCCCACGCACCACCTCCGGCATTTTCGCCAGCCACTTCCGACTAAGGGCTTGGCTGCCATCCTGGGCCAGGACAGTCCAAGGACCTCGAATGACTCTAATACCATCGTTTTCCACGTCATCGTTCTTCGTCGCGCGCGCGCTCTCTCTCTCTCATGGGTCCCCTTTGGTGCTGTGGCCCCTCACAATCACAAAATGAATATACTACGACACGCAAACCGTCAATCACACTTCGCCACTTAATTTCAGTTATCAGTCCATGCATCTATTTCCTTCCACCCGCTCACCCTCTTAACCTCTCCAACCATCCCAAGCGTTAATGACCACCCTGCCTGCGCCAGCTTCAGCAGTTTCGCATGCGTGGGCGACCGGCGCACCAGGCTCAGTGCCACGCGCGGCGTCGCGCCCGGACTCGGGGCCGCGACAAGGGCGCCCAGGCGGTCCTCGTCGTAAAGCTCCCGGCAGCCCAGGAAGAGCCTTCCCGGGGCAAGGGACGAAGCCAGGCAATAGGCTTTGGTGTGGGAAGGTGGGGATCTCTCAGATCTCTGTCCCTCTGCATGTCCCTGCTTGTCGCTTCCTTCAGTATCTTCGATCTGCGCGTTGCAGTGTTGTCATTCTTGGGCTGGCTATTCAGTTCTCAAACTCCCTTTCCTCGAAACAAACAAATTATAAACACGTCTCTAGTCTAGCAAACCCCTCGAAACCCACAAAGGAAAATCAACTATAAGACTCGCTGTTAATGGCTCTGGAGATCTCTGGTGAGTGTCGAATTTGCACGGAACACTTAGCATCCCTCCAGCCGCCTTTGCTCGTCCACTGGGACCTTGCCGGGCTGTCAAGCTGGGGGGTCTTCAAAGCAGGTTCCCACCACATGCACCCCTACATGGGGTGAATGGCGATGGTTGTCACAATGGTCGTAGGACCCGACGTGGTAACTTACCCCATCGCACATGAACTTGTGGCACACCGCTTGCCCCACGAATGTAAGAACTTACCCCATTTGGAAAACACAATGGCACACCGCTTCGAAACAAGCACTTTTTCTCCCAGATTGTTTCTAAACCTACACTACTCCATTGCGATTCAAATCTTCTACATGTTGATGTTTTCTAAGGTTTTCTGTGGGCTGCCGTGATCCAATCCCCATGGCTGCTGATCGTCTACACTCCTAGACACAAAACTGTTTGGGGACACCGTTTCGCAACGACTGTTGAAAAATCCCTATAGCCACAATGTAGTGAAGCCAAAAACATGAAATCGCAACGACGCACTTGGGAGTACAAAAACTTGAGACAGAATCAATAGTGTGCCCTTGCGGTTTGGTCGAATTCTCAACCTGCGATCATCAACAACATACATACAAAAAGGTAGCCAAATCAAGCTTTCCCCCAAGGGCACACCTCATCTGGCACAAGTTCATGCCATTCGAGATAAGTTAACCCGAGCACCCAGTACATAGAACCGGGCATCAATTTACTGGGACAGGTCAGAGCAGTTGAATGAACACTCCCAGGCCACAATGCAAGAAACGAGGTAGGAGACAACAGGACAAGAACTAGGACAAGACTGGCACATCATGATGGGTAAGCCATCATGTGATAGTTCGGAAAAGGATCACGGACTGATGCAAAAGGTGTCTTTTGCGTTTCGCATCCAAAGTGGTCAAACTTTCCATTTGAGCTGGCAGGGTGTCTGAAAATGAATTTTAGTTTGTTCTGTTCTGGAATCTTTAACTGTGTTGGTGTGAGATCATATGCCATTGGCAGTGCCGTTGGCAAACCATTGTGATACGGTAAATTTTGGTTAGTATCAAGTTGCTCTTTCAACAAGGCTTGGGTTGTTTCTCTTGCCATTGGAATGACTGGTCAAAATGGTCTGCCGCACAAACTTGCCTTTTGAATCCTAGCCGTCTAAACTGCATCCTCGCTTCTTATAACAGGGTATGATGAACATGTGTTTTAATTCTTGCGACTGCTCCCAAATGATCTAAATTGCCTAAAATTGGTACAAAATGTGTCCGATTGCAATCGCTAAGGTTCTTTATTCTTTGGGAGCACTTGAATACGGGGATCTAACGGGTCAATGGCGTCCGCCGTTCCTCCGCCATGCGGCAGTCTAATTGGTAATGGGATACCTGTGGTCATTGTGAAACTAACCGTTAGTTCGGTCCACGCTAGGCCAGGATCATCTGCACCTATGGGCGGCCAACGGGCATGGTCATCCGGTGATCCGAGATACCAGATTCATACACCATGGACGCGGCCACTTTTGTTGAGAGTGTGTGCAGTCTTCTGGTGTCCATGTGCTGATGGGTTCGGGAAAATCCTCGTGCTCACATTTGGTGGACTGACGACTGACGAGTATTTGCATTTTGCTTTTCCACAGTAGGCTTGCTGAGCAATGACTGTACTTCACTTCCAGATTTTTGGAAGTGCACCTCTCTCTCTCTCTTCTTGTCTGTGCTTCTCTGCGTGTTGGATCAAGGTGTCAAAATTGTGATCTGGGCTCCGGACTTTGATCTTCCCCTGGAAGGAGAAGAATGTGGGAATGCAAATATCAAAAGACTACACAAATGGCCTGCCACAAAAGCTTGAGGTCCGCTAGGCTGCTGCTGATGGGTGCCATGATGCAGCAAAGCTCACCAGCCAAACCATTCAGCTCCACTTCCACTTCCATTCCACTCGATGGATTGGAAGCTGAGCGAGTTTGGTCACGAAGGGCAGGACTGGGGCCACCTCCCCAAGCCAAAACGTGTTCTGCGTTGAACACAAAACAGGCGCACCGGAAGCAAAAAGAATACCGTGTGTGATGTTTACCTTTCTGCTCGTGTGTGCTGTTTACTTTTCTGTTCTTTTCTGCGTGGCCAAGCTTTGAGGTTCGACAGGGCCATTTGCCTACTTAAGAGTGGTATCGTCCCATTATGAGGAGATAAGTTATACTTATGCATCGTCCCATTTAAGGGTCCAGTAAGGAGTGAGACATTTGCCAGGTGTATTTGTACGCAGGCCAGCCAGGACCGAACTATTGTAATTGAATTCAGATTATGTGGGGATTTTGCAACAGGACACTCCAAACAAGACATCTGTTTTCATAGTGGTTTCACCTATTAAGGTGGTTCCAAATGAGGTGGCTCGACCAGTGGAGCTCTCAAAGCAAACATCAAAAGACTGTCTGTGACATCATGCGAAGGAAACCAATTCTTTCCATCCTTTTCCAAAGAACTCTTAGAACGATCATTGCAGGTCAATAGGACAACTCAAGAAAAAGCAATGAAGCGCATATTTGAGGGTGACCGAATATCGCTTGACCATGCTTTATCAGCGCAATCTGGTCGTGGTTGCTTCTCAATGCTTCTTACATTCTCTATCTATCTCCAGTACCTGCTGCATGACCCTTTGAACGAACTTGCGCCTCTTTGGAGCCCACACGCTTCGGATGTGGAGTCGGTTGTCCCTTTACAGGGATTTTCTTGATAAGTCTGCCGGTCAACAAGCGCCTCTTCCCTTGTCCCCATGAACAAACCATCCCACGACTTCACTGGTAAGCCTCTGCCAGGGTGGGACAGGCTGCAGGAGCCTTAAAGTATCTATCTGATCCCATGTTCGGCCGCCCTGAGCTAGTTATCTTCCTCCCTCCCTCCTTGAGACCATTGTTCTTGAAAGTTGCTAGCACAGAATGAGCAAATTCTGCTTGAGCAGCATTACGCCGCAGCCGCACAAAAAGCGCTGCGCATCTTTTCTTTGTGCTTCTCTGTTCAGAAAAGCACTCAATCATGTTAGTTCAGGTCCTACACGGTCCTACAAATCTATACAAATCTACATTCTACATGTTTGATGAAACCGGACAAATCGGAGCTATGAAGCTGAGCTGAGACTAAGATGCAGCTATTGGACACCGAAGACATCGGTGTTCACTGCCAAACGCTAATGTCCGAGAGGATCAGCTCAGAACCTACCGCTCCACCACAGCTACTCGCACAGGTCTTCTCTCCCCAGTAGCAAGGTGCTCCACCGTATCCACCAACAGCAATATTCAGCACAATCTTCCTCGGCAAAAAAAGCTTTTCGTGTCAAACTCTCCCGCTGTCCTTCTCTGTCTTTCTCTGTCTACTTTCCCTTGGAGGTCACGTCAACCACCAACGGCCCTGCGAACTCGGAGTGAAGCATGGGTTTCACCGCCCGAGGGTCATTGGAATGTCGAAGGGTGCATCGGGAGAATGGGGGCCAGGAAAGCACTTCTGCATGTAGTCCTGCGACCCAAGGACCTTCTTAGGACACCACGAGGACAGGACTTCCCCAGTCGAGGACTGGGACGAACGATGAAAGGTGATGAAACATTCGCACGTGCCCAGTTTGTGACGTGCTGAAAGAGCCTTTCGTGCTGGCAGTTGGAGTTGCAATCAAGTCTGGCCATCTAGAGCCTCCAGAAACAACCATGTTAAACAACCCCCGCAAAGAAACATAACACACAGTTTGGTGTTTCCAGGTTTGAATAAGTATACTGTATATACTGCAAATCCTTCTTTCATCTGGTTTGCCAGTATTTTTTGCAGGGTCCCCATTCACTCTCAGTCCTGCACAGCACTCCACGTTGGCGTCGTGTCCCGCTGGTAGGTCTTGAAGGTTGGGGCACCTGGCCGGATCTTCTCCTGGTGGTCGACGTGCACTGCAAAGTCAATGTTTAATGTTTACCTTACCTTTCTTTCCACTGAATTCGCTTGAGTTGTAGTTGGACTTCAGGTCGCCCAGTCCGAGCACATCATCCAAACGGGGGATGACATGCTTGGACGTCGGGCCTTAGGTCATCGTCGCGCCTGGATAGCGACCAGTTGACCTTGCGAGTTGAAGGACAACTTGGGATCCAGGAAGGCAGAGATCTCATGCGGCTGCCAAACCAGCACGAACAAATGCTCCTGCGAGGCACGTCTCAATAAAGCCAAAGGCCGACATGTCGGGAGAACAAATGTTGCATGATGTTGCATAAAGCGGTTCATTATGGTTCATTTCTTTTTGGTGACAAGGGTTTATCTGCTGGGACTGGTGGTTGTCTCATCGTGGGAAGTTTACATCTCCCAGCCACTTGGGTGTGGCTTGGGTTCACTAGAGCCGGCCGGTGGCATGTACTGTTTTTAATTAGTAGAATATATAGATGCCAGGAAGCTCCTTCCAAGAATTCTGGCCAGCAGCGCAGTCCACATCCTCAAAGAAATTGCCGATATCCAGTCCAGTGTCTTCTGTCTTCAAACTGAACTTTTGAGAATCAGCAAGCAACACCGAGAGTCTGAATCCCAATGAAAACCTTACTTGCACAGCAGCCCCACCTATCTGCTTCCGCTCCCAACCCCACAACCACTTCCAACCAGTCCGAGTGTCTTCCACCAGCACGTGGGAGGCTTCAGCGTCTGCCAAGGTCGTCGAAGTGCCTTGCATCTTCGCATGAGTTGCTCTCTTGCTGGCTGTGATTCAGTTCAGTAAGCTTTGGTATAATTGAGTTTGTGGCCACAGCCTGGGGCTAATAGAATTCTATACCGGTTGCTTGTGTCAACCTTCATCGCCTCATGAATTCCGTCCCAGAAGTTGGCTTTGGGGTGTCAAGTGTTCACATGTGCATTCTGCGTGCTCGCAAGGGCTGGTGACTGACGCTAAAGCGTATGGGGTCCGTGCTGCGCCATCGTTGAGCCACAGGGCTTGGCTCAATCTGTTGACTGGCAGCTCATTCGTACCATCAAGTACAATCGTTTGGAGCTGTTGGGAGTCTACTGATATCTACTGATCCATCAGCATCCATCAGCCCATCCAAAGACAATCGCAATCTGAACATTCTGACCAGTCAGAATCTGACTCCACAACTCTCCAACTTTTCCCAGGCTGCAATAGCTTGGTGGAGCACAAGCGTTGCAGCTCACCGCCGCGGGGTCATAGCACCGCCCCGCAGCCGCGCCGAAGCCAGCCACCTGGGAAGCGTCCGTCCAAGCCAGCCAGCCAGCCAGGGGTCACGGCTCGACGTTTGGGAGTCTTTTTGAGGCGCAAGATACGAGCAGCTTGGTAGGACCTGGCCAAGATGGCGACAGAGTATATTAATAGATATTAATAGAGTATAAGAAGAGTCGAAAAGCGCAAACTATCTCAAGGGCGGAAAACCAGAACGAAAAACCTAGAGGCCATGCAAAGAGAAGCACTCAAGCGAGCATTGAAAAGGCATAGACATAGGGTATCATAGGGTCATAGGGTGAATAGAAGGAGCATAAGACATGTCGACCAAAGGGGTCGCATCACTCTTGCATCGTCCTACACGTGCGCCGGTGTCGCATCGCTTCTTACAGCGGCATCTCCCCCTCCAACCAGGGCGTCAACGAGATTGAAGGCTCCATGGGAGTCATCGTTCACGGTCTCCTGCACGGAATCCACACATGAGCCGCGACTCATGAAGTCCTTTGGACATGTCACATCAATCAGCCGCCATCGCAAAACGGTTAAAAGAACGGCCCATCATGAAACAACATGAAGCTATCTATGGGACATGTGTCTTGACTCACAGCAGAACTTTGCATTCTGCTCCCGTCTCCAGCAAATCGATCTCGCCGCTGCAGGGCCATGGTCCATATTTCCTGAAGCAAAACCAGTGATCCAAGCTCCATCGCAAAAACAGAAGCACTTGCAAAGAAATTAAAAATCAACTCCCAGTGCTCTATCCAATACTATCGAGGGATCGGAACCTCAAATCGATGAGGTTTGGGAGATCATGGGAGATCAAAGAAAGATGCCTTTCGGGCTTTGGAGAACCCGATCATTTCATCCCGTTTGTGGCCATCTGTCTCTCAATGTCACTGGGTTTTATCATGTTATCTCCCTCTCACTCTCTGTCTCTCTTTAGGACTAAGTAAATACATAATTATATATATATATATCTATCTATCTACCTACCTACCTGCCTATCTATCTATCTACCTAGCTATCTATCTATCACTCTATCTATCTACAGTATCTATCTATGCTCCACGCTTGTTCTCCACGGCGAGTTTCCCATCGCCCTTGGAGCTCTGCGGCAGAAACCACCTCAGGAAGTGGCGCAGTTGAACGGCACCTTTGGACCGTCCACCTTAACGTGTCGTCCACCTTGACCAGACTCTGACCAAACTCTGCCAGTGTGTCTTGTGTTTCCTCGGCCGCCATAATACAGTATCTGGCAGTATCTGGTGAAAGTTTGATGAAACCAAGATGCCAAAACTCGCCGACAATGCATGCAGCCGGGGGTGTAAAAGACATTCTACACGCCAATCCTTTATTCTGTGAAGGTATGTGACGATAGACCCAAAAACTCTGCCATGCTCCGTGGGTCATACAAAAATCTCCCAAAGCGAATGAGTCCCCAAATGCCGAATGGCCTTCAGGTCTGGTTTATTCCACTTGTTTCTCTGTTGGATCGCTTAAATCATCCACGTCTTCCACACCGGTCCTTCACCCGCAGGCACAGAGCGGGCCAAACAGCGTTGCACTTGGGCACCTTGGCCGAGAAGGTGAAGACACCTGGGCGGTGCCGAGGCAGATCCCGGGAGGACAACCGGGAGGGAACTCCCTGTCAATGCTGGACAACCGGGTGGACCAGTTGACCCCCAAAAAACCACATTTTGGAGTCCACCGGGTTCTTCTTGATTCCACATGTGTCTTCTAGAATTCACAGTAAATATACATCCCCAAAAAGTCTTCTGCCTGCTTTGAGGGCTGCAGTGGTGTTAGAGCAAAACATTCCAACAGTCGGCAACCAGTCGGCAATGGTTCCAAGTCCATGCGACCATAGGTGAAGGCATCCCTGCTCATCACTCTACCTGTCAGGGAAGAGTTGGTTGAGCAGTGTCAATGGAATCGTGACGTTGGGCAAAAACACTTCGCAAACCATATTGTTCCATTTTGTCCGGACATGGATTGCCCAACTGCGTTTCTGACTGGAGGTGAGCTTCACGGCAAATAGTCTGAACCCTGAGCCTGAGTTCAAACAGCTGCCATCTGGACATGCAGAAGCCACTTTCAGGACCAACCGGCCATTGCTTGTGAAGACCGTCTGTCCATCATCCACATAATTGGAGCACGAATGGGTCATGTTCTGGTCCGGAAGCCTCACGATGTCAGGCTCTGAGGCAAGTCAGGCCAGCGGATGATTGGTCGAAGGAAAACAAAATATCCTGAGGCCTCTGTTGCTCACCCCCCTGCCTCACTCCACAAACAATGGGAGGACTAGCATGGAGGACCGCACAACACCAAAGAAACAGGAAGCTCAGCAAAGCATTAAAAAACAAAGATTCTTTACCCAAAGTAATCCGGATTTGTCGGATCACCTTGTGAAAAACCTACAGAACATCAGTGGAATATCTGCGATGGATTGGGCCTCAATCTGGACCAACATACAGTACCTAGACGTTCAAACATGGTGACAAGTGCGAAAGGATCCAAACACCGCCGAGCGTGCAGGCAGTACCACCAGTCGCTGTTCAATCCAAGTGGCTGCACGATGTCGAACTCGCGCTTGGGATCACCTGCGGAGTAGTAAACAAAAGCATGGAAAATCACCAGGCCACCGAGATCCACCGACCTCTACAGATCAGGCCTGTGAAGTCAAAGCGCTTGATGAGGTTGAAGGCCTGGCGATCGCTTCGTGACGTCGTGCCGCTCCGACCGTGTCGTGCTCCGGTGTGAGGAGAAGCGGTTCCACGTGAAATCCAACGAGGTGGTGACCAGGAGGGAGCTCTTCAGGTGTGCCACGTTTGGCTCTTCAGGTGTGCCAGGAGTTGTTGGAGACATGTCTTGATGAAAAGCACCTCTGTTTACCTGGCAGAACCGGCCAAACACACATAATTTTGAATAATACAAAGCACACAAAGAAACAGAATCATTGATTTTGTTTTACATAAATATACGGACTATAACTCTGTATACATATGAAAGACTAAATGAAACATATCTAGGCTAGGACTAGGACAAACTCAAGAGGCAAAACCGATCGAGTCACCAACATGAAATATACTGATCATCAAGTATCATCCAGTCCACCAAGGAAAAACAAAACATTGCCATCGATCACGGGCACTGGCATGGAACATGTAGGGAGGAAAAGAAATCCCCACCAGGGACGAGACTATCCTATTTCGGATCGTACAAATGCCACATTGCACGCGGGCGCCATCCGCTGGCTGGCATTCGTCAGTGGCCTTCGAGAGCTTTGGTGCCACCTCTGGTGCCTCACACATGTGACAGGGTGGTCGGCTGCATCCGCAGGGAGGCAGGCCGCACCTCGAAAAAGGAGCAAACAGTCGCGTGCAATGGTCAAAATAAGCTCAAAGTGGTGCTGTTCAATAGTGGCTGCATCAACTGAACCACTGGAATGATAAATTGAAGCACAATGAAGCCAATGCCACTAAATTCACGAAATCATCCAAAACGATCTCAAAAGACTCAAACTAAAACCATGGAGGGGTCCAAAACCATGGCCTGTAATTCGACCAATCACGCCCACCTTCCACCCGTTTCGACTAGCCTTGGGGCACTTTGGCCAGCGCGACCACAAAAGAAAATACGCCTCAGGTCGTCTTTCGGTTTCTGCACCGAAACTCCCAACGTTCGGCGGTTTCTGCACCGACCGTTCAAGAATGGCAAACAATGACACAGGGTGATCGATTAGTAAGTAACATTGACCATTATAGATCATAAGAGACTGGACTTGATCATGCATGTATGATTCAGCTTCTGAATCCGCCAGGGTGCTGTAAATCATTGAGTTTGGCATCTGCGGGGCCAATTTGGCTGATCTTGCCTAATGGAATGAAGTACCAACCTGACAAAGGGGACATTGGCGTTCGACTTGGCGATTGGCGGATGTGATCTTCACACAGCAAGAAAATATCCTTGCGGAAACGATGGGAAACGAGTGTTTGCCATGGCGGACGAGCAGTTATATAAATATTTTCGTTGTGGAAGACGCAATTAGAATGTGGCCAATATATGCCAATATGGCTGTACAAACCCGGCACCCACAGGCAGTTAGAATACAGTATATTGATGCAAGAAATTGATATATACTGCAATTGTCAACGATCTCTCGTCCTTTGTCTCAGCATGGAACGGCAGTGATCTTCCGACAGTTCTAATATATCTCCCTAAATTCTGAACTTCCCATATGCTATCTGCTCGATCTGCTAAGGATCATCCCCATTAGTAGATTTGAAGATGTGGGACATTGGTTAAGAGGAGAATCATAAATAAATTGTCTTTAATACAGTATGTTAGAATGTCGACTTGTTGTATTCTAAACTGTCAGTCCTGTATCTAGATTCCACAACAAGGCAATCCGGTGTTATAACAGGTGAGCTTTGGCATGAAACCAGAATCGCAACTGGCTGTGGGCAGGAAAGGCCAATCTTGGATGCCCAGTCATTCACATGGTTTTCATCTCCATTCTTTTCGGCCAGTAACAAGAAGCTACTAGGGGCTCCTGGCATCGCTACTAGGAGCAAGTAGCGCATGGAAAGCTGAGCTTCCGTGGCGCCTGGATGCGTCTTGATGCCTTTCTCATAGGCCCATTGCACCGCATCAGCGCAGTCTGCGTTGCGTGGGTCATCTAATCCACCACAGCCCTGCGCTGTGCGCAACTGGCAGGAAATGGTTTACAAAATGCTCCAAGAAGAGCATCCCTGTGCACAATGTTATTGCACAATAGATTCAATAGACATTTCAAGCAAATGTGCTTTGTTCTTGGCTGTTTTGTCAATCTGCTTGTGATATCTTGCGATGAACCGTGATGAAACAAACGAACCAACCTGCAACTAGGATTTGCAAACCCGGCTGGCCCTTTATACCAAAGAAACCCTGCATCAAGTATCCAAATATTAACAGAACAAGCATTAGAAATAAAGGGAAACCATGCTTGTCACGCCCCAAAGCACAGAGGCGGCTCCCTGTTGAACCAGGACAGCTCCCCATCACCCGGTCGCCATGTTTCGCATGTCTGTGTCACCTCCGAGCTGACATTCGTGAACTGCCTCGCACGCGTTTCGTTTCAGAGTCAGAACATCAACCAACAAGCTCGAATCGTTGCTGCCACGGGTTCAAGCGAGCGTTGAAGAACAACAGCTTTTCTTGACCACGGGTTCTTCAGTTTTTTGGACAGGTTCAATTGCTAACAAATTTTACAAGAAACTTGAATCACAGCAAAACGGCAGTGTTTTCTGTTGTGCATTAAGTGTCAACCCTCCTAAGCTGTAGCCCTCTAAGATGGGTAGTAGGGGGTACTTCGGGTCGGGTCCTTTCTTGGGCATCACTGCAACAAGTCCTTGGAGCCAAGTCATATCTCCTCGGAATCCTTTTTGACTTGTTGATCGTGAGGAGGTCGTGAGGAGGATGGTCGCTCTGGTCGAACAATCGACCGTCCCTTGTTTCAGTCACTGAAGATCCACATCTCCATCAAGCCAGGGTGCTTTTTCAATATGATCATTGTTATTGATCATTGTTATTTATCATTGTATTCACCCTTCCAGTGGTAGAGCGACAATGTGGGGCGTTCGCAGTTCCAGTTGGAGGATCACCTCAATCCTCTTCCCACCTGCCTTGCACGCAGTTGCCTCAATGAGAAATCTGAGTCATCACAGGCCTGGATCAGGTGGAAATCTCTGTAATTACATTTTGGATCGTGCAACATGTATACAGGTATAGCCTCGACAGCAGTTAGCAGTCCCCAAATAGTGAGGTGATAGGACGCGTGTTTGTTCTTTTTCACCAGTCGTCCGGCAGGTTCCTTCCGAACTCGCTGCCTCCAACTCGCAGCTGCTGGACCTTGCTCACAAAGGATGAGGAGACAGGAGTTTGAAGTCCAACCCCCCAGAAGAGGGGGACCCTGTGCAGAAGGACCATCATGACTGGTAGCCGCTAGCAAAAACGTATCTGGGACCACAGGTATAGGCTTCTGCAGGGTCAAACATGCAGAGCCGGGTTTGTCCGAGGCCGGGACAGCAAAAAGGATGCAACAAGCAAAGGCACGCGCAGGCCAGACATTGCAGCCTGTCCCTCTGCTGTGCTTCCTACAAGCTGCTTCCTGGCTGATCCAAAGGCACTCCATCAAGGTTGTATCATTGGTACAAGCTCCAGATGGCAAAAACAATGCAAAACACCTGGAGTGTCGATGTCATTCGATGTCCAAACTCTGCGAAAGACTTCATGCTGGCCTGCGAATGCTGAATGATCTGGATGAGTCGTGTCTTGCTTCTTGCCCTTTCGATTGGAGCCGCATCTGATTGAAGGACACCCGCTCGGAGCCAGCGGTGGGGCGGTGTCGTCTGACGAGTCTGACCAGTCTGCTTGGCAAACGCATGTTGGATCAAATTAGTCTAGTTCTAGTTACAAACCTCAGACTCGGCTTGAAAGTCTCTGCTCTTTTTCGGTGTCGAATTTTCTTGAAGATGGAGATATGAACAACATACCAAAACGCCAACTCACAACTGCAGTGCTCTTGGCCCCCCCCAGGACTCCAGGCTGCCTCTTCCAGTGTCAGTATTATCATTGTGTTGACCCATGGCAACACAACCATGGTAAACCATAGTATGTATCGCCACCGGTAATTACCGATTTGTCTCCAGACTTGTCCAGAGTGTTCGGCAGGGGGTGAACTTGTACAACTTCTCGAGCGTGTTGGACGAACCGAAGCCCAGATGGGCCCCAAACAGTCTCCGCACGTGTCTGAACACAGGAACCTTCGCCCGAACAAGTCCAGGCTCCAAAGAGGCGAAACATCAGTTCTCTCACCCCCAGTGGTCAGTGGGGTGGCCCTGAAATTGGCCCAGGTTCACCCCTTTTCTTCTGAAGCACCTGTTGGCCTCAGGCAAAGAAACGGCACCTCAGCGTGCTTCTTTGGTGCTTCGGCACGGATTCGACACCTCAGGTATCCACTGAGGACTGAGTGGCTGTGTTGATGGGGGGATTTGATCGCGTTCCACCAAGCGAACCACTGGTGAATCACAGGTATACTACGCATTCTGACGGAAGGAAGCGTTGAGGCTTGGATAGTCAGAATTTATGCAAAGGAACCGCAAAAAATGCTTCAATCATATCCACACTGCCACACCGGATTCCCCTGACCAAGCACCTTCCATCACCGTGGGTTGTTTGGTCGGTTCATTCATCATCCATCATCATCCCCTTCTCCCTAACTTCCTAACTCTACAACAATGCAGGTAAGCCCTGGACCAAGCAAACATGAACACTTTTGCACACAGAGCGAAAATATTCTGCAAAAACTACCAGGGCACATAAGGATCTTCCCTCTCCTTTCCACTGGCCTCCTATAGCAACAGCAACACCGGCAAAAACGGCGTCCTGTCCATGACTAGAAGGAAACAAAAGATCACTCTGCGTATCATGAATATGCCTACTGGCAAGTCCATCCTGTCAATGACCCTCTCTCCAGCCGTACTTTTCTTATCCGTTTGCATCGCTTTCATGAGGTCAAGTCGGCCAAACTCAGGAATTGTGTGGAGACACCTTGCAGGCGTCACAGCTGTCTTTTAAACCTAAAGAGACGTGTTCACTTCAGTTCCCCTCCAACCACCCATCTGTCCAAGGCCAAAAGGGACGCAGGGGCTTGACACCGGTGGCTCTTGAGCCAAACTGGCAATTGATGGCCACAATGACTCTTGGACCTACAAGACCTCCTCACCTTTCGTTCACATACTCTTTTCTACGCAACACGTTGCTGCACAAAGAGACGTGTTCACTTCAGTTCCCCTCCAACCACACAAACATTCTACAGAGCACTCTTTTTTCACAAGAAGGGCGGCGCGCCTTGTCCTTCCAAGAAGGCCAAAAGGGACGCAGCATCTTCCATGCTGTTTCCAGGTCATGGAGCATTTTCCATTTCAAACATTTGTGCGCAAAACCTGGCTGATTCCAGCGAAGGCCATCCGCAGACAGTTGTCCACAAGCGTGCATCATTTCCGACGCAACTGCTCTTAGATACTCTGTGGCTCTTTCCAGATTGGTGGCTAGTTATTGCCACAGGAATCAAAGCACTTTGAATTTCCTGCCACAGTTCTTCTTTTCCCCAGGATGTTTGACATAGTTTCTCTAGCTGCTGGCTCCTCCATTTCTCTGTGTTTTCGATCGCTTTCTCAAGTTGTGTCACACGCGCCAATGTAGAGCTTGCCATTTCACACAATGTTGACATCGCTTCCGACCAAGCATCTTCCACATACTGCAATGTGACGTTTGAGGAGTGTCGGGCCATCCATTGTATGGCCGTCAGCGGAATCCCTTGCCTCGCTAGGTCCTTTACCCCTGACCTTCTGGCAAAGTGTCCCGTGACTCACCATCTTAGAGATGAGGACTCCGAACTTCTCTGCGTGTGAGATCATCTTCTCCTTGTAAAACGAACGACTTTGCGTCGTCCATGCGACTTGTTCGCCAAATTGTTTGACTGCCAGACATCTCTCTGCCTCATCCCCAGCTTTCTGCAATGCAAGGTCAGCTGACCCCTCGCAGGCCTCTTCGCACTTTTATCTGGTTGCCGTGGCCCTATCTCAAAACTTTGTGTGCCTGGTACTGGACCAGGCGTTGGAGGCGCCTTCTTCTCTTGGATCGTCGCCGTGCTGCTTTTCCATACTAAGGCGAGTCTGGCCGCCTTCACTGCTGGAGGGATTTCCTCCGCCAGAAATCCATCATATGTAAAAGGCACAACCGCGGTCCCCCCTGACCTTTGAACCTTTGGGCCAGGCCTGCCAGTTATTAAACAAACTATTTCATGACGGTTTAAACCAATTTACTCAAAGAGCCGCAGGAAACAAACACTGCTTTCCTCTTCTAAGCTTCTGCTTTTCCCTCTCTGTGCCACGCTCAACAAACAACATCAGTTTGAAGGATGGTCAGCAACTTACACTTTTCTAGCGCAACCTCTATTGATGTCACTGTTCTGGCGACGTCTAGGAGGCACTGCCCACAACCCTCCACACTAACGTTATCGTTGCAGCGCGACTGAGGGCCCCGCTGCGATGGCCGCCTGCGAAGCCTACAGCGTCAAATGACTCAACGCAATTTCACTATATCCTACAATGCCGCTCAATGCTTGCGCTGTCATGTGAAAGCGCAAACAGCACTGCGACACAGTGACATATTGATCTTTTCGCGGCCACGCGCGAAACAAAGTTTTGCTTCGGCGGCAATGCGCGGGAACCGCTTGGCGTGAAGGAGCTGTTTTGGTACCTGCTGGTCCGTGGAATTGAGACGGCTCAACCGATCAGCTATGTCATTTGCGAGTCCAATGCAGTCAGACGCTGGCGACCCATCATTTCAGAACGAATGGGAGTTGCTGACCATCTGGCTGTCACTAGAAGCATTTTTCACCATGGTTGACCGAAATGCACGCCAGACAACATGGCGGCTCTACGGGCCACGGCCGAGTTTAGAACAAAATCACCTATACTCAGCCAGTTGGCCACTGAAATCTCCATTTTGGCTGAACTACTTCAGCTTTTGCTGCTCCAAACAGAGCACGTGGCTGCTGAGAATAGGGCACGAATCGGCTTCCTATCATCAAGAACCCTCCTATGCCAGTGGGGCGCACATCTGTCTGTATCAAAATCTTTGGGATCTTTGGGGCGTCTGGTCGCCATTTGAAAGTTCTGCTGAGGCCTGGGCGTAGTGCATCGATTTCTTGCACCAACGCATGAAGCGATCTGAGTGCATTTTCCACTTGCCTTACGAATACAAGAGACCTTTTCTCTCTCTCTCTCTCTCTGGCTCTTCGTCTGATGGGTTCCACACGTTGGTGTTGAGTGGCTGCAGCACACAACGTCGACAACCATGGTCTGGCTGCCATCAGAATGCTCGAAGCCCACCCTAGCACTCCAATTGCCTGTTGTAACAGTCGAAGTGGCATCATGCCTTTGTACGCAAGCAGCTGTTCGAGGGTCCCTTGCAGCTTCTTGCGCTTGATCTCTGCCATGCTGCATTCTTCATCTTCATGCGTTTCTGCATTGACTGAAGAAGCCACAAGAAGGACATTCCTGGATGTTCAATTCTAAACGTGGCACCGCGCCTGCTCAACATCATGCACAGAAGCACCATTCTCTCCACCATCTCATTTGACTCCTCTGCATCCTTGTGACCATAGCCCTCTGGTCTATTTGCATCTCTAAGCGCTCTCACCGTCCCAAACTGACCACTTCTCCTTGCCATCGACATTGCACGGCAGGCTGGAGCAAAATGCCCATGGTCAATTTCTCCTTCGCACAGCTGTTTGGCCATCTCGTAGTCCTCCTCCGCCAGAATATTCCATTCCTGGCGTATCCATCCAAGGTAGCACGAACTTCTACTAAGTTCATGCCCGCCAACTTCGTTGCCTCCGAGAAGCCTCCCATTCCAACGAAGAACTCTGCAAAGACAAACTTTCTTGAAATCTTGTTTTTTAATTTGTTGAATTAGTTGAAACATCAGCAAATTCGACGCGCCAAGAAGAATCCTCAGGCGGAAGCACTATAGCGTCACCCCAGCGCTCTTCCCAGTGTTCTTGCACATGCATTTCCTCTTCTTCGTCTCACTTGCCTTTGCCATCCCCTTTCCTCTGGCCGCCGGCCCTTCTTCTTTCTGGCACTGGACATTGGGGTGTTGGCCAAGGCACACCTGACAGACATGAGCACGCTGGTCTGCGCACGGTTCAGCCCCTGGCTGTCCCTTTGCAAACTTGTAGCAAACCTGATTCCCATCACGGTCACGGTCTGTCAAAAAGAACTGTCCGTAAGTCCATATTTGCGAGGGCGCTGCGTCTTTCCTTTCTCTGAGGCTTTGCCAGGACCTCGCCAACTGGACGATTCATTGTGAGTTTGATGCCATGCCTGAACGTCTTGCATCTGCCGTTGCTTTCTCCCTTTTCACGCCTGCGTTTCTTTGCAGCCTTTAAGGTTCACCTTCTCCATGAGGTCTGTCTGGTCCTGCCAATCTTCCACCCAATGCTTCCTTAGCTGTGTCTGAGATGCCACTTGCCTCTGCATCGGTCCTGTTCATCTTCT